TGCATTTGTATGTATAACTTATACATATCTTTCTTGTGTAAATGTTACGTTATTGTGTATTTCACACAATGGAAAGATGCCAAACTGTGTGTCATTGTTCTTGTAGCAGTGACAATAAAAATCTATTCTATTCTAAAGCTCCTTGAATGGCCTTCCCAAAGTTCTCAACACTGTTGAAAATGGATCTGTGCCAGGAAACCAACCAGTTTAAATGAACTCCAATTCTGCCAAGAAGAGTGGTCAAATATCCAACAATAATTGTACTAGAAGCTTGTTGATGGCTACCAAAAGTGTTTGGTTGAGGTGCATCTTGCTAAGGCACTTAGCACCGAGCCAAATATTATTGGTGATATAAAAAAATGAAAACTTGTACATCCAGTTTTTATTTTTTAAAGTCATGACAGATGTATGTTTGGAGTTTAGTCTGTTACTGTTGCTATTTTTTTTTTTACCATTTCTTCTTGTAGCAACTGTAACCCACATAATTTCCTTAGGGGTTAATAAAGTATTCTGATTCTGATAGTTTCAGGCTACATGTCCTGCCATTATCCAATGACACATCTGCTTACCTGTATCTTTTGCTTGTTTCTCCTCCTCTTCTTTTCTATTTTTTCTAAGCTGAGGACTTGATGGCTTTGAACTTTTCTTGTCCATCTTGGTTTTAATTTTGCACTCCAGTACGAACACCCATTCCCCAACCCGAGCATCACCACAACATAACCTAATAGACCTACACCTTAGTTCACAGATTCACTTTGTCTAGGGTTTATTTCTGGGATTTCGCACAACCCAGGATTCAAATCATGAATACATAATGGGCTTGGACTGACAACATTATGAATGAAATGTGCTCTGGAAGCAGCCGGCCGCCTGCCCTTTCGACAGGTTGTGTGTGAGACTTTAAATCATCAAACTATAAATTTTAAATTGTTATTGGTCCCTTTATCCCTAGTTGTAAAGTGTATATTTACTTTTTTACTCTTCTTATATTTGTTGTTTGTTTACTTGCACTGCTGTAACTGGAGCCTCGTCGTCTCGTCTCTCTATATACTGGACTGTATGTAGCGGTATGTATGCTGTATGTAACGATGCCGCCCCGGGCAACCGCCCGTATTAAAAACCGCTACTGGTTGTCAGGACCAGAGCCAAAGGGTATAATGTATTCTGAATACTTTGGATTACTTAATATATTATCATGCTTTTTACAACTACATGAATGTACTATTGCTGTGTGATTACTATTTATTACTATTACTGAAGGTTACTCACCATACCAATACCAACTAGATTTTTAAATCTTAATATAAAATGAGTAACAGGGTGGACATTAGGTAAGGCTGCACTTTTTGCAGCGATCTCTGAAAACTATTCACGTGTATATAAAACAGGTTTGCGGCTCCGAGCCGTCGTAAAGAGACTTCTGGCGGGCTTGTAGCCGAAAACTAGCTACCCTTAACTTGTCTGGGTCAACTTTGCTAGCAAGACAGAGAGAGGCGTTGAAAGGTTGCTTCGAAGGAAAACAGAACACAGTGTACAGTCGAGTCTTAACAGCTTACTTACAACTGGGCTCGTCAGGCACTCTTTTTGGCTGCAGTGGTTATTATTACATTTACATGCTTCCATCATTCTGCTCGGTGACAACTCTGACTTTCCACTTCAGTTTTTCTCTCCCTTCCTCGCGCTCACACACGCACGGGTATGGCAGTCCATTCTCCCTGCAGCACGCACTACACTGCCCATCAGGCTACATTATTTAGGGCTATGCCTGTAACACTCTGCCTATTGCCTTCATATTAAATCATTTTTGTGAATAACTTTTTAAAAATATTTATTCACGTCATTATGCAGCCGCAAGTAGGGGTGACATGGGCCGCGAGATTGAGATGCAGGCATTAGAGCCTCTTAATGCGTGTTTTGTTTGGCCCTGGCGTGGAATTACCAAAAATAGAGATGGCATAGCCTAACATGTGAAACAGGAAAAGACCACCGTGTAATCCTTTTTTTTTTTTAAAAAAGTAACTGTATTCTTAATACCACCCTTTTAAAAGGTTACTGTAACGGAATACAGTTACTCATATTTTGCATTTTAAATACGTAACGCCGGTACATGTATTCCGTTACTCGCAAACACTGTCTGTATCAGCAATTACATAAACATGAATTTAAGCATCCATTGCAATGTCTTCATGGTGTATCTCTACATAAGGAAATTACATATGTGATATAATGTTATTAAGCTAAAAAAATACAGTTAAAAAGCCTACCATAATACAATTACTTGAACACATTGAAAGAAAAACCACTGAGATGACTAGACATCGGTTTCTGTGCAATTTCAGTGCAACTACGCTCCAGTCCAGATGGAGGCGACATTTTTTTATTGTGTTTGAAATTTTTAACAATTTAACCCTCAAAGGTACAAGGAAGAGGAAGAAGAAAACCCGGGGTCGAACATGCATTGATTGGTTATTTCAAGCAGGGAAGTTTGCCGGCGTGGTAGGAGATCTCACACACATCGGTGTCTCCCTGTACGCTTCTGTTAACCTTCCCGCTTCTGCGCAGCTCGACCCGGCCAAAGCCGTCCAGCCTGCCTGCCCCCCCTGTGTGTGTGTGTGTGTGTGCGCGCGCGCGCGTGTTTGTGTTAGCCCTCTGGGAGCAGCATGTCTGATTACAGCTCTCTGCCATCAAATGGAGTCGGAGCAGGAATGAAAAACGACGCTTTCGCAGATGCCGTTCAGCGAGCCAGACAGGTAATCCAAGCGCTCGACTACGAGAGGAGTCAGCCGGCGAGCTAATTAGCTGCTCTGAAACCGCAGCTAGCATAACGACCAGTAACGTTAGCTTTAGTTAGCGAGGTAGCACACTAGCTAATAGCAAAGCCATTCATTTGCCCTACTTTCTGTTCAGATCGAGGCAATTGAATTGTGTGTGTTAGCATGGCTCTGTTACATAAATGAAATGTTTGTCCCTACCGCGATCCTTGAGGTAAATTTAGTGAACTTGGGCTAAGTAAGCAACATTTACTTATTACCCGTTAGTTAACGGTTAGCTGTTATATGGGGATCATCTCCATTCATTTATGAGGCATTTATTAGGTAACTGTATTATAGCATTATGGCTGTTTTGTTTCATGTAGACCATTGACTGAAAAGAGTTCAGGAGCCATCGTTTACTTTTTTTCACTGTAAAGGGTTATTTTTCAGCTAATGGCTATTTTCATTAACAAGTATAGTTGTTTATTTCAACAAAATAAAAAAACACATCGTATATTTTATCTGGTGATAGTTATATTTTGAGATGTTGAATATAGATATATTAAATTAATATTTTTTGATAAATTAAGATCGTTTAAGGTTATTTGTGATACTTGAAGGGACTGCTAGCATTGGATTATAGTTTCTTTGATTTATTAGATTTAAATTAGTGTCGGGTTGTCTGACTGTCGTGCTTCCATTAATTTGGGGCACAGTCACAATGGCTCATGTTTCAAAGTGGCTTCTAATATTATAATAAGTACTTAATATTTGATCAATTATATGTGGATAAGCCCAGGGAGTCAGAACAAACATTTATACAACAAGTGGTAAGGTATTTATTATAATGCATAACACAACAAAGGCGAACCAACAATAACCAATAATAAAAAGCAAATTAAACTACACCATCATACAAAACGAACCTATTAAGTTATTCGGTTAGAGAAGAAATAAATGAACATACTGAATAGACATAGAAATAGAAACGAATAGACTTAATGAAAACATAATAAGTCAAAAACAAGCAAAGCTTGTTTAAAACAGTGATAAAATGGACATTTAAAGATAATTTATTCCAAACAGAAGCCACTTGACACATGAAAGCTTTTTTTAAACCATTTTTCTGTGATACAAAAGGGACATTAAAATACCTGGGGATCACATCTTTTTAATTTATAATGTGGAGCAGAACTAAACATTGTTTTGGACTGTAAGAATAACCAGAGTTAAAATGATAACTAAATCATTTGTACCAGCAATTCTTAAACAAGACAGTGTCCATATCAGCACTATGCAGTGAAGGGTTAATGAAAAGTCTGATACAAATATGTAGTCAATTATATATAATATTAAGAGAATGATGATCAGTTTTGTAGGGATTCAATGCACTGCAATATTATTATTAGTTTATTCTTCCCAACCTGGCACATGCTCACATCTCTCAAAATTTCT